TCCCAACACACAGCTCTCCTGCTCTCATCTACTTACCCATTTACTCTTAGCAGCTAACTCTCTTTGTGCTGTCTATACGTGCTCTTGTCCTCATTTCTGGTGACCTGAAATCTATCTGTGCCACTTTACTTTCTCTGTAGCAAATTTGGTTTCACTTTAATTTATCAACCCATTTGTTCTTGCACTTCAGAAATCCAGGTTGCATATATCCTCATCTTTTCACCTTGATTTCTCTCATCTCCCTTTAAAATTAAGGTGTTACTCCATCCATTGACTTTTGGATGTTATGAATGAAGTTCTCTGTTTTCCATTTTTCTATCTTAAACTCAGTAGTTTGTCTTTTATTTTTAAGAGTTTTGTTGCACTTTTAAGGAACATATTCACTCTTTTCAAAGTTGGCTGGTAAAGAATCAACACTGTTCGGTCATGAGGATAAATGTTTTCTATGACTAGATGCTGTTATAATGAATGTTATTAAATATGTTCATATATACCCATAGTGATAGCTCTCCTTAAAATCAAGGTTAGGCACCAAAGATACAAGTAATATCTTCATGTCTCAATAAAATTTTCTTTTCTCACACTTTACAAAAAAAAAAAAAAACCTCATAATTTTGTTTGTCTTAAAATCTTTTCATGCAAAATTTTATGTTTTCTTTTGCTTACTATACTGTCTGCAGTGGCTTATTGATACTTTTGACATTGATTTTATCTTCAGAGAGACTTCATCATGTATTAAGAAAGATCCTTTATTTATAAAACAAACATGTTGGTTCCATGACACTGAACATACACACTCCAAAATCTCCATCAATTCCAGAACTATTTGTATGGTAATTTACATATAATGCTATTAAACATATAATATGCATATAATATGCACAATAAGAACTCACTTCACTATAGATGTAGATTCCTGTCAAGAAGATTAAAAATGGACAAATCCACTACATGTTCTTCATGTCCTAGAGCATGTTTTAAAGAAATAAATAAATCTACATTTAGGTCATACAAGAGACATTAAAAATCTGACTACTTTTCCTTGTATAGTGACTCAACTTTTATAATGCTTGTTTAATGATATTGTTGTAATTGCAGCTGATACAAATGATCACAATTGCATAAATGATGTATATGAGAATGATGAGCTTCCTCACCATGCATATGATCTCTATAGGTATTGACCTATTTCAAGTGGGATATAGAGAATTATGATTGCAGTAATGGAGAGAAAGATCAATTATTTATTTTATGTTGGGGAGTTAGAGTTTAGATGTAAAATAGACTCATTATTTTTCTTATTCCCAAAGGCTTCCTCCAATAAGTGTCTATTGATCTATCCTCCCCAGCAGCAATACTCTGCTGATGGATTAGACATTTTTATGGTTGGAATTCAAACTTTCTTTTATAAGTACTTTATTTATTCACTTGTCCAACTATTTATTTTCCAAAAATTGAGAATTTTTACAAACTAAGTATAGTAACTGGCAAAGCATATAGTCTGTAACCTTTAATTGAATCATTTACTTTATATATTTAAATGAAGACTGAACTAAATAAATAAAAGCGGGAAATAACATTTCTGAAATAAACAAAGTTATAAAAAAATGAGACAAAACAGTTGCTACTCAACACAGAATTGTCCCTCTGAGAATAGGAGGGACTGATTTTATTTTTTTAAAGTGTGTGTGTGTGTGTGTGTGTGTGTGTGTGTGTGCATACATTTTGCTGTGGATGCCAGAGGACCACTAGCATAAGTATACTCTAGGCTTCTACCTTGTGAATAGTGAGGATACAAGTCCTTAATTAGCATTTGTGGTGAGGACTTTTACCAATGGAGTCTTCTTACTGGACTGAGTCTGATTTTTAATTTTCTTAATATTTATTTTTTAATACTTTTTTCTATAATAATTTCTCTTAGTATTTTTGAGAAACAAAAGTGCTACAGACAATGCAGTGTGTGTGTGAATATAGATGAATATATACATATATATAAATTCTACAAGGATTAAGTTTTTGCATGCTATAATCACCAATAGTATGCCAGCTAATAATGATGCATACAAATAATTAATGTTGTCATATTATTTAAAATGTCTTTTTGTTTACAAAATTTAATTTGCACAGAACACAGTCATGGAATTTTACATGTTGCATTCTTTCGGGCAATATTTCCCAAAGCTACTCATTTTGAACTGTTAAAACATTTATTGTATGCAAAAACACATATGCAGCTTTCAAAAGAAAGAAGACAGTTCTTTTGGTCATGAAAATTTTATGTCATAATTCTTCTTTTGATTTTAATATAATGCATTTAGAATAGTCAAGAAAAGAACTTAATTTTCTCATTCATTTGGGAAAAGGCTCATAAGAAAACAAATGTAGTAGTCTAGCCCAGGCGTCTAGAACCAAGAAAGAATACTGAAATCCATAATGAAGAAATCACATTAGTGTGATTAATAATATGTCCCTTAGAGGTATCGAAGCAAACAATCACACTTTGAACTGCCACTCTTCAAAAAGAAAGCAGGATTGAAGAACATTGGTTGGACACTCTGTTTCTACCAAGCATGACTGCTTATTATAGTTGATCAGAAAAACACAGAAAAAAATGGCAACATAGAAAAGATAGATCTAGGTAATAGAGTAGGATGTATCAAAGCATGGGTGAGGTATTGCTTCTGTGTATTGTTCACATCTCAAAGGGTTATATGATAGAACCACAAAATTCCACTGCTGAAACAAGGGTCATTAGACAATTAAATTGTGGGCCTCAAACGAAGTGATTATTAAAAATTGAGGTGTTTCTGAGCAGCTCAAGATAAAAGATAGCTCTCATAGCACCTTCAAATTGATATTATAAATTGAAGATTATTTAATTGATAGTACTGAAGTGCAGTCCGTTGTAAAAACATTCTTGCTTGGCTACAAACCATGGCACTGCATGCAAAAGAATATTATTGTACATAACCCAAGCCAAACAATGCTAAATAATTGAGAGTAATGATGATAGACTTCCTGATTTGTGAGAAATTATACTAAATTTATGATTGTTCATTCTAGCTAACGTCAAGATCTTTCTTGATTGGACACATTATATTTGGTTCTTATGTATGGAAACAAAAGGATAGTATATAAAAACAAAAGAAGCGATTTTAAGTTGGGTACTTAAGTGAAGAAAAATGATTAATGTAAAAAAAATAAAATTATATACTCTGTATGGGAAAACGATTTTCCCCAAAATAAACAACATTAAACATTTTTTTATAATTACTGTCTTTCTTTTGTATGGATACACAGACACACCCCTGCCAATACCACTTCCCTTTAACTCAAATAAGAAACTAACTGTTTTATTCTTCTCTCTGATGCTAGTTGAGAAGTCTGTGTAAAAAAAAAAAATGCATTAAGGCGAGCAGGATTTGCCTACACATCAATAAACTAGAAAGGCTCCCGGCAGGCCACTTGCAGTGTCAATAAAGACTCATAATTACTTGCTCCTTGGTGCATTTTAGACTTGGCCCTTTGCTGGACTGGGCTGCGGGAGATTAGGCCTTCAGAACTTCGGAGAATTTTAACTTCCGAAACCTCAAGTAGACACTGGCATGCATAAGCAAAGGGCCCGGGGCTTATATACAGCTTTGTTGTTTTGTTTTTAGAGACTTTAGCAACTAGGCAAACTATCCCTGAGCTTCTGAAAACTGGGGTTTTAATCAGGAGGGTTATCTTTTCATTTCCTGCTGTTCTAGGAGTCACTTGGAATTTCTCCTAAATCCAAGGATGCTGGAGTCCTGGTGGTGGGCCTCATCACTTCTTGATGTGGAAAGAGCAAACTTAAGTGGCGAGAGGGATGGACTACCAGAGCTAATTCTCAGCCTGAAGGAGCAGGAACTCAGCCATAAGAGCCTTGGGAATCTTGGGGCTAAGGCACACAGATAGAAAGGAGTCTGACTTCCATGTTCTGTCTTCTGCTGTGGAAGAGTGTGGATGTTCGGTCAGTGGTCAGCTCCCTTGGATTTGCTGGAAACTAGGAATGGAGAGGTACTCACACAGAGAACTCAGAAAGCACTCCAGGCCAGCTAATTGCAGGATACAATAGGAATAAGGAAAATGGTATGAGGGAGGAGGAGTACAAGTCAGAGATCAACACACTTCAGAGGAGCATGCCTGTCCTGCTTTCTATCCTTCCTTTCTTCTTTCCTTGGACTGTGGATGTGTTTGTGGGTGTGCCCGAGTACGGGTTTGGCTGCTATTTTTTCCTCATAATTCTGTTTCTCTGTAGTCAAGTTTAAATGGCATTGGACTTGTTTTCATTTCTTCGTGAGCATTTTCCAAATGACAATGACAGGGTCACATAAATATCCATAACGAACTTAAGGAAACCTCTGATTCTACATGCTTACTGCAAGCTTCAAGGTGGGCTCCTCATACCCACCCATTTGGCGGGCGAGATCAGCTCATTGGCTCCGCGAATATTTGCATTTTCCAGACAGAGTTGCGCACTGAATCATGAATGTCCCCCTTCCACTTCCCTGATGGATTTCACTCCCCCTTGGACGGTTTTATTCGCTGGTGCGCTTATGTATGTTTAGCAAACATGCGTTCAATAACAGGCTTCTTTCTCAGCCCAGCCCCTAGCTCTATCCATTGCATTCCTCCGGTGGGTGGGATGAGTCTCATCTTTCTCAGATGAGCTGCACTCTTTACTTTGATGTGGTCAGATGGTCTCCGTGCTCCTGGATCTGGAGCCGTGACGTTTTGGCGTCCTAGGAGACAGTGAATGTATCAGTGTGTGTCTGTGGGTTTTGAGTATGTGCACGAGAACGCGCGCGCTTGCGACCGTCAGCTTCCTCCCCCGGAACGGGGCAGCCGCCAGCAACGCGAGGCAACAGCAGCCTCCGCCCCCTCAGCCCCGTGATTGGCTGGCCCTGCTTATCATTTCACTGCTACGGCGAGGAAAGGACCAGTGACGCCCCCGAGCCCAGCTGCAGAAGCGACCGCCACCTCCAAAGCACAAGGTGTCACATTTGAAAAAGAAACCTGAGCCCCAGGGAGGTGGCGCTGAACGACCCTGGCTGGGCTAGCGCAAACTGCGCGGCAGGGCGCTGGGCAGCGCTGGAGGACCCGGAGAGCTCTACCACAGAACATCCTAGCGACCTGATTCTGGGATCTCGGCTCCACGCTCCCTTCGCAATTTTCAGATTTCTTCCCCTTCATTATTTCTCCAAAACGGAGCATTTATACCAAAAGAAGGTGCCGGAGCTGGGGCAACCAGGACTTTCCCGGGCACCCAAGATGCGCTCCATTAGAAAACGGTGGACCATCTGCACTATAAGTCTACTTCTGATCTTTTATAAGACAAAAGAAATAGCAAGGACTGAGGAGCACCAAGAGACGCAACTCATCGGGTAAATGAATATTCTGGATATGACACAAAGTCAAGCCATAGTGAAATGTGCATAGACATGGTAGAGTGACATTTGGAGTGCTATGTGTGTTGGTTTGAGCTTGTTTGTGGCGAGCTCAATTAAATTAACAAAGGCTCTTTGGAGGTGTGTGTGTGTGTGTGTGTGTGTGTGTGTGTGTGTGTGTGTGTGTG